CCCGGGCCCCCTTTCCCCCCGCGCCCCGTCGCCGCCCGGTTCCAGGCCACTGGAAGGATCATTTCTAGATTTGTGAAAATCCCTAAGAAGTGAAAAGCAATCGGGGGCTCGTAGCGATCTACTTCGATTAGCCCTCAGCCCCGTTCATCTGGAGCTTGATTTAAAGGGCAGCGCTCGCACGGTATTTATAAGCTTAAATGCGGGCTGATGCTTATGAATGTGTTTAGGTACCTCGTTTATCTTGTACCTCCGACTTATATATTTACGACTTATAGGAACAACGACCTGTGCCACGGCTAGAAAGGAGACTTCAGAGACGCCGTATTGCTGCACCGTTTACAATGCGCCGTATAAAGCTCTGGCAGCAGCCAGCGATCTAATATTAGACAAGTGTTAAAAGAATAGGCTTGGCTGCGCTTTTTATATATATATGTATAAAAAAAAATATATACTGTGGGGTTTTTTTATGCAATCTCCACACGACATCACCGCTAGTGACACGTTTTGTAAACCAGAGGAGGAAGCTGCAGACTAAGTAGCCGCCGCACGGATCCGCGGATTAGAGAAGAAGTTTGACCTTTACCCGGGACGTGTGGCATTTCATTTAACCATAAAGCTAAGCACAATGCGCCAGCGAGATCGCTAAACCGATTTAAAATACATATAGAGCCACGCACGACGGTAGTGCATCTCGGTTTAGGCAGCGTGCAGGCACCACGAGGGGGTCGGCGACTATTTTAAGGCTCTTGCCGCAGCCACCCCCCATCGTTCCCGTGTCCCCCGTGTCCCCCCCTCCCCGGCTCCCACACCGTCACGTGTCGAGCAGCGACCGGGACTTTCTGCCGTGTAAACACGGCGCGGCGGAGCCGACCGGGGGCACCCGGGGCTGCCGAGCGCCAGCGGGGCATCCTCCCTGCTCCGGCCCCACGGGGACACCCCCAGGGCGGCGGGGCTCCGGGGGGCCCGAGGCAGCGGCGGCCCCGCGTCCCCCCCGCCGCCTGTCACGCCTCGGACCCTGCACAGAGCGCAGCGGCAGCGCCGCGTTCCCCTTTCCCATATGCTGCGAGGCGAATCATTGCATCGCTCTCAGCTGCCGGCGGCGGCCAAAAGGGGGGAGGAAAAAAAAAAGTTTTCAATTAATGATAAGCCTAGGAACTGGGGAGGGGGGAGCGGGAGGAGGCCAGTGAGGGAAAGTTAAAATGGCTGGCGATCCTTCAAATAACCCTGGCTGCCTTCCCCTGGAGCCCCGGGGAAAGACCCGGACACCCAGGCACACACAGGCTCCTCGAGGCCAAGGCTGCCTCGGGCGGCCCAGGCTGCCTCGGCACACCGCGGTGCCCATACCCGGAGGTTAGGGGACATTCGTATGCCGGGGGCACTCACATCGTCCCCCCGGTTGAACCACACCGCGGCGGTGCTACAGAGAAGCTGCAAAGGCTCCCCCCCACACACACAGCGCGGGGAGGTGGGGCGGCTGGTACCCAACTTTGAGGCATCACTGCACGAAGGATTTCCCGGAGATTCGCGGGAAACACCGACCCCGTCCGCCGCACGGGCAGCCCCGCACCGCCGCCACCGGGGCCCCCCGTCCCTCCCCCGGCGCGGGCGATGCCTCAGTCCCCCAGGCACACCCGGGGGGAGCCGGGGGATTCCTGCCGCCGCTCCGGCCGTGCCGGGAAACGAGGCTACGGGAGGAGGCGGTGGCGGAGGAGGGAGCCACAAACCGGCTCAGCCGCAGGAACCCCGGGCCCCCCGCGCAGACGGGGGCCCACGGAGAGAGCCCGGGCTCCCTTCCGTCGCCCACCCTCCGCGGCATCTCCCGACCCAGGCCGGCCGCGCCATTTTAGACACACACACACACACACAGACACACACACACACATACAGACACACAGACACACACCGCGCGCGCGCACGGCAGCGAGGTTTCCGCTGCCGCTGCCAGAGACAACAGGCAGCAGCCGAGCCCGGGCTGCGCAGGCGGAGCAGCGGCAGCAGTGGGAGAGAGGGACACACACACACACGCACGCACGCACGCCCACACACACACCCACGCACCGCGAGCCAGGCAGAATTGTGCATTTCAGGTAATTTAAGGCCGCATTCCCGGCGCAGGGAAGGAAAAGCGCAGGCCTGCGCCCCACCAGCCCATTAACCCGCCGCCTAATCGGCATCCCGGGAACCCTTCATTGTTGCCTTTATTCCCTATGGCTTTTGCTTTCCAGGAGGGGGATAGAAAAGGAAAAAAAAAAAGGGGGGGGAGGAAGGAAGGGGAAAAAAGGATAAAATACCACCGAGCCAGCCCCTTCCCCCCGCTCGTCCCCCATTGTTCGTCCGCGGGAGGCTGGGAGAGCGCAGCGCCACGGGCTCGCTACGAGCCGGGCTCCGGCGAGCACTCCCCTGCCCCCAATAGCTCGGAAAACTTAGGAGGCAGGGTGGGGGGAACCCCCCCCACACACTGAATACAAAAGTCCCAGCGCTCCTGCGAGAGTTGGGCGAAGGCCTGCGCTCACTTCCGCAACGTTATCCCTGCAGAAATACCGGAGCACGGCCCCCGTTTCCTTCCCCCGGCCCCCGCCGCACCCCCGGGGCGGGGAGTGATTAATGGGCCGTACGCCCTTGCTTTCCCTCCGGCCACCCCGGCACACAGCGCTCCCCGGCGCGGAGCCGCCGCGGCACGCTGGGCGGGGGCGGCCCCCCCACACATCCGTCGGGGACGTTGGGAGATATTGATCACGGACGACTTCATTTTGCATAACTGCGGCTGACAGGGCCTGTGGTTCCCTCGTTTGCGGAGCAACAGCTTCGCGGGGCTGATGGATGGGGAGCGGCTCCCTGCGCTCCCCCAGGCCCCGCTCCGGGGGGAACGGCTCCGCGCCTCACGCAGCAAATGGCCGCGCACAACAGGCGAACATTAAACTTAGGTGCCTCCGTCTCTGTCTTACCTAGCGCGGCCAGCATGGAAGCCTCTCGCTTCCCGCAGGGCTTTGTCTGCACAGCCACGCCAGGGCCAGGGACCTTCGGCGGCTACATGCAAGAAAAAGTGCTTGGGAAGTTGGGGGGTTTTCCTTTTTCTTTTTTTTTTTTTTTAAATTCCCTCCTCCTCCCACCAACAAACAAATAAACAGCCTGGTTTCTGCTAAACAATGCATAAAAATTAGCCTCGCCCCAAAGTTTATGTCGGGTTTATGGCGCTAACGCTCCTCCTTAATGGGAAACGCTTTCCCGAGCACTTCTGGAAAGCGCTGGCGAGCCCTGGGTTACGAAAGCTGCATGACGAGCACCTCGACTAAACGCCTCCAAAACGTGTCCCGACCTCACATCCAGCACCCTTCCACACCTTCAGAGGAAAGGCCAGTCCAGGGTGGGCACAGCCAGCGCCAAACACCGCCTGACTCGGTGTGAGGAAGGCACCGGGGGCAAAAAAAAAAAAAAAAGGAAACCAAACCACGTAAAAAAAAAAAAAGGAAACTAAACCACGTGAAAAATACAAAAAATTACAAAGAAAGAAAAAGAAAAAGGAAATAAAAAGGACATAAAGTTGCCGGCAGCGGCGGTGCCCCGGTGCAGAGGAGGCAGCGTGCAGGCCCTGCCTTCCCTTCCCATCCCGGCGCTCCGCACCGAACAAAGCAGCGAATCAACTGCGATGCAGATGGGCGGCTATGAATTTTTTGCTGCTGCTTAGAGCTTTAATTACTCGTTCTTGATCCGTGGGACTACGACACGACACCGCCAAGGTTAAAATGCCCTGAACAGCTCTGAGCAGATGTGAACGAGTTGGCAGACGCGCAAATGAGGTCTGCCTCTAAGCATGATAACAAGTGACTAATACATTGCATATCGCTGAAAGAAAATTATTTTTCTCTAATTTGCATTAGCTTCTTTTTTTTTTTTTTAACGCCGCCGACATTCCCTCCTCAGAGGCAGCAGCATAATCCTTAAAATATTGCTCCGTGACTTTAAAAGATTTGGAAGGAGGCAGCAATTGCCAGTGTTTTGGCTATGCAAGTGTTTTGGCTATGCAGGCTTGTTTATCTTTCCGCCTTTGCTCCAAGGCGAAACTAGTTTCGCAAGCAGTATTCTTGCAGAAAAATGGCACATGTCACATAAAACACCAGTTTATAGGAATTGATGCTAAAATTGTTGAATGACTACTGGTGTACTTTTGCCACTAATAGCACGGTGTAATCCATAAAGGACCAAGGGGACAGTCAAGGCCAAAACAGAAAAAAAAAAAAACATAACAGATTGACTGGAGAGAAATAGATAAAGACAACCCATCGACCAAAACGACTAAAAGGGGGGTGAGGGATGAAATGAGCATCTCCCCTTCTTACCTGCTTTCCACCCCAGAGACGCCCCGTCAAAAAGACAATAGTACGTGGAGGTCACTTACTATATAAAACACAGCGGTTCTCGTAGGTAGCGAAATTATGTCAGGTACAAATATAGGCTGGGACCCAGTTCTCCAAGTTTCCTCGACTTTCCAGAGGCTCTTCTGAAAGGGCCAGGAGATCACTCTGGGTACTGGAGCAAACTTCAAGAACAGACATCCTATTCTCAGAAGACAAACCGAGGGCCTTAGATGCAGAGGCTTTGAGCAGAAAATAGCCACTCGGGAGATTTATGCACGAGGAGTTTTTTCACTGAAGACCTACTCCAGGGATCCCTGCACATCCAGGTTATCAGGGGTCGTCCGCTGCCATCTCAAGCGGCAACTTTCTCTGCCAACACGTGTTTGTGAAGGAAACTGCTGCCAGCCCCGGGCCGGCCGAGGCTCGCAGCCGCGCTGCCCTCTCCTGCCGAGAGAGACACCGGGACACCGCTCCCGCGAAGCCACCGGGGCCGGCGCGAACCTGCCGCCAGGAGGGATTTCCCAGCGCCGGGGCCGGGCACGGAGCCGGCCGCTCCCCCGGCTGCCTCCGTGCGCTCGTAAATGAAGCGGAGGCGGAAAGAGGGGCCGGGGGGAGGGGGCGGAACGCTTCTCCCCGGCCAGCGGCGTTTGCTGCGGGCGGGCGGGCGGCAGGGCAGCGCGGCCGGGCGCCAGAGTTAAATCCAGACTAACAATCCCCAGTTAGAGATCAAACCAACAACAGCAGCATTGTGTCTGCCTTCATTGCTTTACCATCAACCACTGCAGCTGGTTTACTCGAAACAAGGAACACCCTCTACCCACCTCCCCCCGCCCCGGGGCCAGAAACGTGCTTGTTCCCGGAGGTCGGCCGGGCGGAGCCGCGCTGCCCGGGGGCTCTGCGGGTGCTGCTCCGCCAGCCCGATGTCGGTGGGTGCCAAGCGCCGCGGGGCTCTCCCCCAGCAGCGCCGAGGGGTTTCCAGTCAGCACTCACGCCCGACGAAACGCCCGCACAATCACAAGTTGAGCTCCGCTCTCGGTCTAGCTTTTGGGAAAGGCGAGGGGGAACCCCGCTGTGGCGGGGAAAGCCGCGCCTGCAGCTGCGCAGCGCCCCGCGGCACACGGCGAGCTCGCCCCCGCGGCGCGGCGCGCCTCCGAGCAGCCCTTCCCCGGGAAAGCCGGGCTTCCCCCGATCCCTGCCCGGCCGCCTCGCACGGCAGCGTCCGAGCTGCTGTGGCAGCGAACCTCCCGCCGAGGGGCCCCTCCGCCACCCCTGCCCGGGGCGGTGACCCCGCAACCCGCGGCGGCACCGGCCCCTCCGCTCAGCCGGGCGGCAGCGACGCGCTTCCACCTTCTCGTTTCCACCGTAAGGAGGAAAAACACAAATAACAAGAAAAGAAAAATGCCAAGAACCTAAAGCACCAGTCCAGCTTCGTTCACGATACAACCACCTGGAAGCAAAGGAGTGCGCTGCACTCTCTCAGAGGGCCTTTTGCTGGGCACAGCTGTAATTTGAGTGTAAATCCTCATAGCTCCTTCCCTGCCCTTACTTATTTTTACATCAGCAGCAAAGTTGGAGGAGACATGGAATTTACTTTAAAGAAGCATGGGGAAAATAAATCTGTTCGAGGAAACCTTTCCTTGCCATTCTGAGTCCTGGCATTACCCAAGTTGCACATCTCTTAAGGGAAAACCAAGACAGCAACTTTCTCTGAAATTTGTGTCCTGCACAAACTCTTTACGAGGCCAAATAACACTTTCTATGTACCTATATGCAGCTTGGGAGACGGCACCAGTAAGGAAAAATAGCTGACTTTATTGGAAGCATGTTTCCATCTTGGCCTAAACCCTGCCAAAGGGCAGTACTACCCCGGCAGGTATGGTGCTTCACACTGATGTGGTAAGTCTCCAATCGACTTCCGAATCAGATTCACCACCCAAAGACACCAGTACACATTCACAGGTCAGTATCATCGACTATTCACTGCCTATACGTAGCTAGAAATCTGCTGGCCTGGTAAAAACCACTGCTAACAGAACAATGTCAGCAAAGGCTGCAACACAGTCTTGTGAGAGACAGGCGATTCGTGCCTACTGAGGCTCTTTCAGCACAAAGGCTTTTAGAGGAAGAAGAGAGAGAAGGGGGGAAAAAAGGAGGGAGGGCTCTCGTGTTTCAGGGCTGCTGTCCCCTGGGAACCAAGAACCAAGTGTAGCTTCAATCAAATGCTGACTTCTCCTCTGGGAGCTCAGTAGGAAACCTGATCTCACTAGCTCATGCCTGCCTCCATGCATATAGGCTGGGTTTTCTTTCATACCAGCAATTTGTATAAAGAGGGGAGCCAATATAGTTTATTGCAAACGAGATCTCGCAGTAATGGATCTAGAGAGATACTTCTGTAGCTAAAATAAGACAACCTTCAGCCACCTGCTCGGGGCAGGCCCTGCCACAGCCGCCTCCAGCTCCGCACACAGGGCTCGCTGTGGGCGCCCCTGGCACCGCAGGGCACAGCCTCCCACGCATCTCCTCCAGCCCTGCATCCTCCCAGCTGGCAGCACCCGCCCTGGGACGGCGTTTTGTGCAATGCCAGGTTACACTTCCATTAAAACCTTTACCCTGGGAGATCACTTCCTGCTTGCCAAAGTGCTGCTCCAGCTTCCCCTGCTGCTCCCAACTTTAGCCAGAGGTATTTCTCTCCTCGCCCAGCGAGGCCTGGAGACCCATCGAGGCATCCACCCCTGCGCGCTGCTCCTGGGCTGCCCTGGCACGGCACGGCATGGCACAGCACAGGAGCTCTGCAGGGGAAGGCAGGCCAGTCCTCGGAGCTCCGCATAACTTCACACCGGGCTGCTTAATTCTGCACGGGGCTTTGCTAATCCACTTTGTGCTTGACTACTGGAACGGGAGGAAAGGAAAACACTGCACGGAGGAGCACGGCCAGGCCAGAGCAAGGTGAGCCTAGGGGACTGCAGCCTGTGGGAAGGGCTTTCCTCGACACCCAGCTCAGCCTCCTACTGCTGTGGGCAAGTCGGAGAAGCTTAAAGCACAACCCAGCACACCAGGGCGTGGGAGCAAAGGGGATTGCCCGAGGATCAGAGATCCCTGTAGGATCTCTCCATAGCCAGGAGCTTTCACATGGAGAAAGTTTGGCTCAGGGAGGGAATTTGCACTTAGAAAGAGGAGCCCAGCCCATCCCTTCTTGTGCCATTAACAAGTTCTCTGTGAATTTCAAGGAGAGCTGAGAATACGCCCCTCCAGCTTTGATTTCACTTCTCTGTCCCTAGCTGTCACCATACACAAATGCCATACTCAAACCATGACTAAAGCAGCCCCACAAAGCTCTCTCAGCCCTCCAGGAGACTCCCAGATGCAATGCCACCCCACCCCAGGGGAACACGGGGGAAACACAGCGGTGGGTGAGGGACAGGCACCTGCTCACACAGGGACAAGGACACCCATCAGGCTGCCCCAAGCGTGCAGTCTGCTCTCTGTGCAAGTACAAGTGTACTTCCCTCTGCTATCAACTGTGCCAAGCGCCAGCTACTCCAATAGAATGTGGAATTCTCACTTTTATAACTGAGCATACAGGCCCAAATGTTTTGTAATATGCAAATACTGAAAGGCATACATGGCCCCCAGGTGAGGTACCAGGGTAAGACCAAGAGCTGCTCCAGCTGAAAACGAAAAGCAAACCACGCTGTGAGTAAGAATGAGCTGGCAGACTGCAACCCACCGTGGGCTATCTAGAGGTGCACGGGGAAGGAGCCAAGCCACTGCAGCTCCTGGATGTGGGAGATGACTCCAAGGGCAGCAGGAGCCACGGAAAGGAGAGCACCAAGGCTGGGAGCACTCCCAGCCCTCCTGGCCAAGAAGCAGGCAGAGGAAGCACAACGACAGGCTTTCCTGGTCTGCTCGGCCACTGAGCACAGCCCCGAGCCTCCCCTTTCCCTTGTGCTTCTCTGAACACACACAGCTCTTTATACGAGCTGTTCCCAGTGTGGCTGGTGGATTCTGCGCTTTCCACTTTAATTGTCTTATCCAAATAAAGCTTTGTTTTCCTTAGCACGACAATCCCAACATTCAGACCGAGATTTTCATTGGACAGAGGAGATATTTTATTCTCTGATTGTTTAGGGAGCCACGGCTTACACGGAACAGCCCTGGCTTGTGTGCCTCCACTCACAATGGGTGCTTTGCAGCCCCTTGTCCCATCATGTAGATTCATTTTACAGAGTTATCAGGGTGAGAATCATGTTTCTCTCAATTTCATAGCTTTCCAAGTCTATCCTAGACTTTAACAAGTCTTTTAGTTTGCACCTAGACAATAAATTTAGTTTAATTTAGCTTCCGGTCTTTAATTTTAGCAGGTCTTCTTTTTGCATGCAAATCAATATGGCAATTACCATCTAAAAGCTCACCCAGCCCTAGGTCAATGTAAATTGATCATTGTCCGCCTTCTACAAAATAACACCGGGAGTCTGTGGTGCATAATGAGATTATACTGGAAACTGTCTTTCAGATCACAAATTATATTTCATGCTGTCAGGATCTTCTCCAAGAAGACTTCCTTGCATGTTTAATCACATGGCACGGAATCTATCAGCTCATGAGGTAGTTTTGGGGTGCAAAGAGTGAAGGAAGAGTCTCAAATAATGCAGACAACAATTCTGGAAAACAGGCAGGCAGGTACAGAGGGATGCTCTCACTCAATAACTTTTCCAGCAGCGGAAGAGAGGAGGGGAAAAAAATCTCCCCTCAGCCAAGAACTGCTGTCCAGCAAACAAGGAAAAATGAATTCCCTGCTGGAAAGCAGCAGAACTTTCCTAAAGCCACATTTGCAAGGAGTTCTTGGCCTCCTCCTTTCCGTCCCCACCTCATTCTGCCGGAGCGCTGGCATCCTGCCCCGCAGAAACCCGGCGCAGGATGCGCTCTCCTGGCAGAGACCGCCCTGCCGCCGCAGCCCGGGGACCCGAGCAGGTCAGCTCGGAGGGAAAGGTCGCTCGGGAGCAGCGACTGCTGTAAGCCGGTTCCCTGAAAGGCCAGAGGATTAACGGGATCTGCTCACAGCCAGGGGAACTCCCCCTGCCTGCAGCCCGGGCCTCGGCGCTCCCTCCGGCACGCACAGCCCTGCAGCCAGCGCTGCTCGAGCATCTCACAGGGCTGAGCCCGGCTCTCCGTGCTACTGCAAAGCCCAGAAAGAGGGGAGCAGGCCCGCTCTAGCCATCAATTATTCCTAAAGCAACACCAGCCTAAGGAGGAAGTATTAAACTTGGCTTCATGCTGCTTTAAGCCCACACTAAAATGTGATGTATTGCGGCGTTCGGGGGAAAGACAGCGCATCGCACATCACCTGTGCATCCCAACTACGCTGCAGGGTCCCAGCAAGAGCACAGACCTCTGTCGAGGCACGCAGAAATTGGAGATCACTTGTCCTCCACACTAAGCACTGAATTACTCCAAGCCATATTTAATCTGAGGGCAACGTGGCTGCTTAGCTACGGCCTGAACTGCAGCAGGCCTTCTGCCTGTCTTTGCAGGGGCCACTCATCGGTCAAAGTTGAGAGACCTTGTAAACGACAGCCACACATTGCCAAAACTACTCTGGTATGTGCAGCACTCTTTATTTTGGGCCGTGGTGACCTGGGTCCATTTTCTCCACAAACGGAGACATGAAAACATGTCAACAACTTTGTGCACTCTCGCAGCTGCACAGATTCAGAAAGTTTGCTTTGTACAGGCACCCCTGCAGCTCAGTCACTGTTAGGGGACCTTGGCTTCCTCATCAGTCTCCAAAAAAGTGTATTACCACGGGGTGAAGGAAGAGGAGGGAAGAGGAATGACAATTTTGAACTGCCTGAGAAGCTACAGCTCTTGGCACATTCTGGTAAAGGCAAATACAGCGTGTGACACGGAGCCTGGATTGTCCACCAGCACAGGAATAAAGCCAAGGCACCAGTATTGTTTCAAGACCCAGTCCATATTTGGGCATTCAGCTCACACATCCCAAGTATTGCTTTAAATATTAGAGACATTCGCCAATGTGGTTCATAACGCACCCAAATGGGAGAAGTCATTTCTGCTTGCTCTCAGATTACTGGCTTGGTCTTGGTGGTGCGGGGGTTTTTTGTGGGGGGAGAAGAGAGGGAAACCCTGCTGAGTCTGTTTGCACTGGTCTGTATTAGATATGCAACAAATCTGCCATTTCCGGCGCTGCTTCTATCTAATTAGAGATGTATTTAGATGTGACGTGTAAATAAGCGCTGAGCTGCCTGCTGCCCTGGCTGCGTGGACTGCTCGGGAGCATTTCCAATAAGGCTGTAGCGCCCGGAACCAGGGCTCAGACAAAGAGGGATGGGAATGGTCTGCGCTGCAGGCGAATCCAACAAAACCAGCTTTTATCTATCGCTCTAAAGCCTTAACTGCTTTTAATCTGTACCGCCCAGGCTTGCACGCCAGGATCGCATCTCATCCACCGAGGACGTCTCAAGCAACAAAAGGAAGCACACACGCTCGGAGGAGCTGCAAACAACCCCCGACCCACCCGAGCTGCAAGGCAGACCCCGCTCTCCGCCTGCCCTGGCGTTCCACGAGGTGTGTTCGCTCCCGTGGGCTCCCGAGCACCCCGAGGCACTCCCAAACACCCGGCTCCTGCTGCCCAGACACGAGCCCAGGGCTGTGAGCACAGATGCGGCCCCGCGGGGCCAAGGGCGCCGAGCTGCTGGGAGAGAAGTTGACGGAACCCGAAGGCGGCCACGGAAACTCGCTCCCCTCCATCTCGGGATTTCCACCGCGGCCCGCGGGAAGAGGGGGGCAGGGCAGGGCTAGGAGGGGCGGAGAGCCCCGGGGACACCCCGGCAGCCCCGAGCCCGAGGGGCTGCGGCGGCTGCCCCGGCCCTGTGGCTGGCCTGACTCCGGCTCCAAGAGCTCCTCGGAGTTTCCAGAGAGGAAACTCCTGGGAACGAAATCATCTGGCACTCGCCTCGTGAACTCTTTTCCTGTTGTGGGAAACATCTCGTGTAAAGCCATTAGATGGACGGGGCAGTGCCGGGGCCGGAGGCGCGCTACCCCGTCCCCCCCCCGCTCCGACATCATCCCTGCGATCGCTGCCGCATCTTTCCAGGCCGGGATAGCCAGCCCCGATACGCTCCGGCGTGAAGGGTTAACAACCATCACCACCAACACACAAAAAAAAAAAAAAAAAAAAAAGGAAGGAAGAAAAGAGGGAGGAAAAAAAAAGAAAAAATATCGCGGTGACCTTTTCCGTCTCCCCCACTCTCCCTTTCAGGCTCCGGTTCCTGAGCTCGCAGGGAGCCTGAGCGGCTGTCTAGACCGATCTATCACAGACGGACAAACAATACCAGGAGAAGCCCCTGCCCGGTCCCTCAGCCTCCGCCACTCACCTTAGAAATGGCGAAGAACAGAAAAGTGACCGCGATACAATCCTCCCCGGTATATTTATAGCCTTCCACACAGCCCACCTTCATGCCTGACAAATGAGATTTTGTCTGCTCTCGCAACGTACGCTCCAATAAACACACACACTTTTTTTTTTCTTTTTTTTTTTTTGTGTGTGTGTCTGTTTGTTTTTGGTAACATTCCGGGCTCGTCCCTCCGATCTCGGGGCGGGCGAGGGCCCACCACGCCCGTGAGGGACGGCAGGTTTGATAGCGGGGGCAGGAATGACCGGGGGGAGCAGTAGGGGTCCCGGTCACTCGTCCACATGCAACCTCCCATCCTGGAAGCTTCAATGTCCGTATTCATCACGCCCCTTCGCACCCGGCCCCCCTCACCCGAAGTACTCCCCGGGCCCTGCCAGCCCTCCAGGTTGCGTATTAAAGAGGTATACGGGGCGAGGAGCCGGAGGTCCAACGCTGCAAAAGGCTGGGGAATAACTAATGAGCTGTGCAGCCCATTGATCCGGTGCATACTTCCTAATTAACTCTGAGTCACCTATTTGTGACAGCAATTCAAAGAACTGCACCAGGGATAAACTGCAACCCCGGCGTGCGAAGGCAACCCGGCGGGGGGGGCGGGGAGGGAAGAGGCGGCGGGGGGGGCGCTGGGGGAGGAGGAATTTGCTCCTAATCCTCCTAAAAGCAATTAGGGTGAGCGCTGCGCTGGCTACCTCTCGGGAAGGGGAAAAAAAACAAAAAAACAAAAAAACCACCCAGCGGCTCCAACAGCAGAACCGAAAGGAAATGAATCGGTGTGTCGCAAGGGCGACAGCACCGGGCTCCAGACAGACAGGCAAGCCTCAGCACCTCGGGAAAGTCGGCGAGGAGGAAGCGGAACGCCGGTCCGGGCGGGCAGCGGCGCGCACGGAGCTGCGGGAGCAGCGCGGGCGGCGGTGACCCGGGAGCGGCGGAGTCACCGGCGGGGGCTGCGGGGTGCCCGGGGCACCGGACCCCGCACCGCCCGCCCGCTCTCGCCCCCAGCTTTGTTCCCAAGTGGCTCTGGCGGGGCATTGCTCTTCCCGGCCGCCCCCCGCGGTAGGGCCACGGGGAGGGGGCGGGGGAAAAAAAAAAAAAGTTAATAGAAACCTTTGGAAAATCCGGGCTTGGCTACGTGGTGCGGATTTGGCTCCCCCCTGCCCCCCCCCCTTTTAATGCAAACACGAATACAAAAGCTGCGGGCTCTAAAGAGCAGATGAAAGCAATGAACGGAGTTTCTGGAAAAGATTCATTAGTGGGAATTAATGCTGCGAGGAGCTCCGAGGCGATACCATTAAAGTCAGTCCCCACACTTTGTCAGTTTTACACCGCTCGCTATGGTCGGGGCTTTTTTTTTCTTGTTGGGGTAAATGGGGGAGGTGCTCTTCGCCTTCCCCTCGCCCCCTCTGCGATCGCCAAACCCGGGATCCGACAGACATCGCGGAAATGAGAGGGAGGGAGGGAGGAAGGAGGAAGGGGAAAGAAAAAAAAAAAACACCCAACAACAAAATTTTAACAAACAAACCACCCAACATACACACATCGAGAAAGAAAGAGGAACGTGAACGCTGCGCAGCCCTCGCCCCCGGACTCGCTCCGCGAACATCAAATGCATGCCTCATATGCTGCGCAGAGCCGCCCCACTTGGCCCTGCCTTCACAAAGCAGCCTCCGCTGCCTCCCCGCCTGGCCGTCCCCCTCCGGCTGCCCCATTGATGGCAAGCCCCGAGCCTCCCTCCGGCTCGCTCTCCCAACTCCAAACTACATTTTCGGGCTGTCTAAACTTCCGTGTCACGCCGGACCTCACGCCAGCACAGCTCCGCGCACGGGAAAGCCCCGGGCCGCCCCGTCCCACGTGCGCCGCGGCGCCCGCCCCGCCGGGGCGGAGGGACAGGGGGGAGCAGCGCCTCGGGCTCTCCCGGCGGGGAGAAGGCAGCCGGCAGCGGGCTCTCCCGGCGGGAGCAAGGCAGCCGGCAGCGGGCTCTCCCGGCGGGAGCAAGGCAGCCGGCAGCGGGCTCTCCCGGCGGGAGCAAGGCAGCCGGCAGCGGGCTCTGACCGCGCGTTGCTCCGGGCGGGGAGCGCGGAGCCCGGCCCGCCCGGCGCGGGAGCTCTCCCCGCTCCGCGAGCCGGCAGCGCCGCTCCTCGCTCACCCCGTCCCACGGGAGCCTCCGTAACGCCGCTGCTCCGGCGCCTTCCCAGTCACAAAGTGCAAGACGACGGGAACACCGCCACCACTCCCCACACGGGCGCACCGGAGCCGAGAACGCGATCGGGTGCTTCCCCCCGCCTCCGCTGCCCCGAACAGGCATCTTCACAAGCAACTGCCTCCAAACTTCCCCTCCGACACCGCAGCCCCGGAGGCGCTCCGCTAGACCCTCCTGCCCCCGCCGCCGCCCGCCCGCCACTCCCGCCCGAGCCCCGCTGCCCCGCGCCGTAACTTTCCGCCACGCCGCCGCTCTGCCTTCCCCGCGGCCGGCCGAGGGGAGCCCCGCAACCGCGCCGTCACCGCGGGACTCGGCGGCGGCGCTTCCGCACGGGAGCTGTTCGCGGAGCGCGACACTGACCTTCCTGCCGCGCCGCGGGGCTGCGGCGTGCGCGGTCCGAGACACGGGTCCCCACACCGTCGGCTGGCCCTGCTGCTCTCCCTGAAGGGCAGCCCCGTCGGGGGTGGTTAGAAGAGGCGAGAAAAGTTTCACGATCCGACTCCCCCTCTCCGTGGGTGCGTGTGTCGCGGCTTGCCCCAGCGCGGGCGGGTCGGGGAAGGGGAAAGACCAGGGAGCTGCGGGGAGCGGGAGCGTGGCCGCCCTCTGCGCCGACGGGGCAGGTGCCCGCGGGAAGGGCTTTGCTCCTCGGCTCGACTGGGCTCAGCAGCGGGAGTGGGAGCGGCAGCCCGCGATGCTCATTCCGGCTGCCGGCTCTGGTTTGGCAGCGCCATGTTGCTGGCTTGCTCCGGGCGAAGTTCCTGCGCTGGCGAGCGCGGCGCTCCCCACATCTCGCCCGCGCCGCCGTCTCCCGTGCCCTGGCCGCCGCGGCTTTGTGTGTGTGTGGCTGGGGATTTAATTCTCCTCCTCCTCCTCTTCTCCTCCTCTCTCTCTCTCTTTTTCTTCCTCTCCCCCCCCCTCCCCTCTTTAGTCCGCCGGGAAAGCCGCTCTTCCTCACCTTGCCGCTGGGAGACCGGGCTCCGTCTGCTGCACGCTGCGCTCCCCTCGCATCCCCCCTCCCTCTCTCCCTCCTCCTCCTCCTCCTCCTCCTCCAGCCGTCGCCTCCCCTCCCTTCCCCTCCCCCCGGGCAGGCGCTGCACCGAGGGAGCCGCCGCCAGCAGCAGCAGCAGCGGCAGCAGCGCCGCCACCGCTTTTTCCCTCAGCAAGTTTCCCCCTCCCCTGGCTGCGTTTCCCTGCTCAGGCAGGGCTCGCCCGGCCGCTCGCCCGCTCCCCCCCTTGCCCTGACTAATTGATTTGCCCCCCCTCGCCGCGCCGCCAGCCCCTCGCCCCGCTCGCTCCCCCCGGCTGGCACAGGTCGCTGCCAAGCTGCGGCGCCCCGGGGGGGGACTCCGCGCTCCCGCGCTCCCCGGCAGGCAGGAGGGGAAAGCCGCCCCCCCCCGCCCCGCCGATACTCCCCTCTCTCGCTACCCAGAAGGCCAGTGGAGAACCGCAATTACCATAAAGCTCCGTTCACTCCGCTCCGCCAAGCTGTCAAAACCCCGGCGGCGGCGGCGCTGCCAGACATCGCTGCGAGCCTCCGCGGCGGGTCGCGCCGCGCTGCCACCCCCCGCCACCCCGCTCGCCCNNNNGGCCCCCCCACCCCGCTTCCCCCGTGATCCCAGCGGCGCCTGGAACACCCCGCGGCGATGCAACCCGCGCCCACAGTCACACCCGCCGGCTCCGGGTTTCCCCCGTCGCGCAAAGGCATCCCCGCTCCCCCAGGACCTGCCGAGGGCTCGCAGCCGTCGTAACCCCCCGCAGGGGTCATGCCACGAGCGGACCCTTTCGGCCGCAGCCTCTCACAACCCGAGGGGGCTGTGTCGCCCCCCGACGCCGGGGCCCCTCTCTGGGTCCCACCCGCGCCCCCAACTTCGCGTGGTCCGCGGCTCGGCCGCGCTGATTTCCGCGCTTCCCCCCGGTCCGCTTCTCCGAGCTCTGAATTGGGATGGGAAAAAAGCCACTCGTTTGTCAACGTCTGCATTGCGGGGGGCGGGGGGGCCGAGGGGGACCTTATTAAAGCGCGTTTTCGCCTGATCCGGCTTTGGCAGCCCTTAACGCGCTTTTTACCCGGTGTGAGCAGTGTGGCAACCCGGGGTGGGGTCACGACTGAAGCGCCGTTTCCCTCGCTGGCATTTCTTAGGGCTGCTTTAAGATTTCTGCCCGGATCGTGGAGCCCTTTAATCTCCGGGCTGGTAGTTATCGGCTGCATCTATTTACTTTGGCAAGGCAACTTTTGGCTCGGCGAGCTCGACTCGTAAATTTCACGTTCATAACGCCCATCCCCGCTGATACTCCCAGGTTTGGTCCCGCAGAGCCCGCGGCGTGGAAGCTCCCGGGGCGGCCCCGGCCTCAGGGCCAGGCGGGCTCCCGGCCCCTCCGCTCCCCCGCACCTCCCGGCGCCTTCCCGGGAAGCGGGAGTTCTGCCACCTCAGCGCCGCCGGCGCCGCACCGAGCCCTTCTCGCCGCCGCTCCGTGTGGGAGCGACTGCCAGCCAAACGCCAGGCGATTAACGCGGACAGTTTGCCCCAGGGGGGATTTTTAATCGCTTCGTTCAGGACCCTGCGCGAAAAGGCTGAAGAGACGCTATGAGCTGCAAATGCTTCCCTCACCGAGGGCGATGGGAATTCAACGGCGGAGCAGGACGGCCGGGGCTGCCTGCATGCTCTGCGCCGCTGCTTATCTCTGA